CAACCCCCGCAGCTCCCCACTGCAGGGTGGGAGGTGGGAGGGACCACAGATTCACCCGCTGATCGCACAAAAGCCCCAAGCTCATCTTAGCACTTGAGTTCTGAGCTGCCCATGCCCGAGCCCTTGGTAAACACGCCGCCCTCGATTTGAGTCCTTGGCATGGGCAGAGCTCAGCCACAGCTGTTTCCTGCACGTGGTTGCAGCTGGCTTGGTCTGTGCCAGTCTCACTCAGGTGACTAAATCCACTGGTGGTTTAGTGTTCGTGTGGACAGACTTAGAAGCTGCTTTGGAGGTGCGGTTTTATTTATTTATTTTTAAAATATGCTTCTTTTTATTTCAGAGAGCAAGGGAGAGAGAGAGAGACAGAAACATCAATGATGAGAGAGAATCATTGATCGGCTGCCTCCTGCACGCACCCTCCCCCACCCCCCGGAGATTGAGCCCACAACCCGGGCATGTGCCCTGACTGGGAATCGAACCGTGACCTCCTGGTTCCTAGGTCGATGCTCAACCACCGAGCCAGGTCGGCCGGGCTGGGGCAGTTTTCGTGTCTGCAGCCTCTCCAGTCATTTTGATCTACAAGCTGCTGGCGGGAACTATGTTCGTGTTCATTACGAGGCCCAGCCCCCTCCAGGAGGGGAGGCAAGCGGGTATGTACTTCCTACGGCCGCTTCTGAGCAAAGCGCTTAGCCGGGGCGGCGGAGCCACTGAACCAAAATGCAGTAACTGCTGCTCACCCGCCAGCTTTGCTCCTCTTGGGCTGGGACTGTCATGGGACCAAAACTGAAATGAGCCGCTCTCTGCAGAAATGAAAACACCGCCTCCTTGCCCGCTCCCCCTCCTCGGGATGGAGCCAATGTCTAACGTCCTGTTTGCGTCTGTTCTGCGCTCATTTGCCGAGCACCAAGCACCGGGAGGGAGGGGGCTTGTTCTCTGCGTGCCTTTTCAGATAAGTTTGTTCCCTTGATCGTTGGCCCTTTTCCTGGTTTACAAAGCGACATTTTAAACTATTAATTAGCCTCATCTGAAACAGACAGACATTAAACAGAAAA